GGAAATATGTTTTTTAAAAGAATATATGTACATATTTAGCCATTTGACTCAGTTCTCCACCCAACACGTTAAAAAACAGATGCTTTAAAAATGATCTGTTGGCAATATGCTTGTTAAAATTTTATCAGTTGGAATATTAAAATTCATTATGAATTAATTAACACATTATATAAAAATAAATTTTTTCATCATTTTGTAAAGTAATATAACCAGTAGTGACTAACATTGGGAATTTTGTGTGTCTTTATTTGTGTTGCTGAAAAAGAAACTAAATTTATAAGATTACTATGAAATTGATGACATTTTCTGTCTTCACTCTTGAATTCAGTTGGCAGATGTTTTCAAGAACAAAAAATTCTGTCTTATTACAAAACATATTAAGCAGGTTTTCCTGCCAGGCATGTCTGACATGATGTTTATTGCCTAGACCAAATCAATCCCCTTAATAAGCTATAATATATGCCAGCAAATACATTATTTCATAGTTAAGTAAAGTTACAGCATAAAATAATCAGTACTTTGATCTCTCTCACTTTGTTCTTCATGTATCAGAATGTAGTACACAATCTGTTAGTCATATCTATTGATATTCATTTGGTAAATAAAGCAAAATTATTCTTTTGTAACCTTAATGTTTCAAATCCTTTGCACTTTCACTTGTGCTTTGCTGTACTAAATATTTGCAATCATTTGTAAAAAACAAAAAAGGATCTGGTATTTTCCAGATACCTAAGGAAAAAAATATTTCTTTAAACAGAGAATATTACAGATTTTAGTATATTAGGAAAATAAAATGGTCTAAAACAGGAGAAAAGCTAGCTTTAACATGGAATTATAGAATTATAGCTACAAAGAACCTTCAGAAATTGTCTATTTCAACCCCATTATTTTACAGATGGGGGAACTGAGGCCCAAAGAGATGAAACAACTTGTCAAAGATGACATAGGTAATAAATGGCAGGAGTGGCATCTGAACCTGGCTCCTCTGAACACGTACAACAAGAATAAGACATCATTATTATAAAGGCAACCCCATGGTTATCTCCTGATCATCTGTTCTTAAGCATGGACTACTATTGTTCATATGGGACTTTTCTACACACCTCCTCCCATACTGAATTCTCTACTTGGATAAAAATGTTTTTATCTTTTATTTTTTTAATCCCCAAATCTTATTAAATGTTGGATAGAAGAAATAAATGGACACCAATGGTATAGCCAGTAAATATTAGTGTACTACCTATGTAGTTTCCCCTAGTATTAGTACATTTTTTAGTATAGATAATTTTAAAAGATATTTCTTTTTAAGCATTGAGCCATGTGTGAACAATGTCAAAAATTCGGATGAATATTTAAAAATCCAGACAAAACCCCAGCTCCTATACAGATAAGCAATTGCATATTAAGAAATACGCAAATTTTAAATGAATACCAACAATTAATTTTTAAAAATACTTATTGAGTACCTACTGCATGAAAAACTCTGTCAGAGAAATAAAGTGGTATTAGAAATGGTCCCTGCTTTTAAGCATCCTACAAATGGGCTGATTTTGAAAGCCCAATGCAAATGTGAGGAAGTTAAGGGCATGAGACAAAACACAGACACTTGAAAAGTTAAATAAGGATAAGAGACAACAATACCAGAGATGTCACAAGGTAACTGATGAAGTACCCCAATAAATAGTATGGATAATATGTTCTATGAGTACAAAGAAAGGGAGGATCACGATGAGTTTCATAGGTCAGAGAAGACTTCAAAGACAAGCTGGGCCCAAAGTTGGGTCTTAAAAGTATAGGATGGATTTCTAAAAGTAGAGAGGAAAAGGAGGCACATGCTTGCTCTGTACTGAGTGAGGGAAAGTACAAGAAGTTTTTAGGAGACAAGCAAGTTTGACTGGAGCAGAACATTCATGTAAGGGAGCTATACTAGAAAAAAGCTGTGATAGGTTTTCATTCAGAAGTTAGTGTTGTGTTGACAAAAATTTTACAAAGGTCATTAAAAAAGCAATGTTGCTCCTCTAACTTTATTCATTCACCTGAAAAATGGGCAGGTTAACTAAAGTGTTAAAAGTGTTTCGAGAGAGATACTAAAATAAGAAGTAATTATTATTTTTCTCTAATTGTTAGAAGAGTCAGCATCTTAAAAATCAAAATTAAATCACGGACACTGGAATGACTCTTGAGTACATTCAATTAACCTCCCCATGCGGAAGTTTCCCTATTGATAAATAACTTCAGAACTCCTTTACAGGCTGGTATCTCGGTAAAAATTAACACTTGAGACCTTCGTAACATATCATCTTTATAATTCAAGGAAAAAGATCTGTCTCATGGTATACTCAGATTTGTGAGAAAATAGCTTAAAACTTCACTAAGACTTTTGGAACACACAATGTGTGTGTGTGTGTGTGTGTGTGTGTGTGTGTGTGTGTAATTCTCAAGATTAAAAAAAAACTTTCTAGTTTTGAATATGCTCTCGAGATTGTAAACCACTGCTTTTTCAGAAGTACAGATAGAGTATGACAATACACCAGAAGAAGTCAATTCTAACTGGATCCTAGTGACCTATAAGATGAATGCACCAAACACTGAGCAGTTCACCCCATCTCTCGTTGAAAGGATAAAACCTTACTATCTAGCAGGGTTACAGAGAGCACATGCATCTCTGCTCCTTTGCAAACTGCTCTGAAGTTTTTAAGTGAAAAGGTGTGAAGTTCAAAATACTATTGTATATCTAAAAGTATGAGTAATGCATGTAGGATTTTAATTTATATGATCTACTTTTTGTCTTTCACTATTTCCTGAGGTAGAAGAGCTACTTTATGGGAGACATGGGATAACACAGAAAAGCAAGGGAAAGAGGTTGAAAGATGTAATACGAGGAGGCAAAAAAGAATGACAGATGAGTGAAAAAAAAGGAAAGAAGAGTAAGAAAAAGTAGAACAGATGAAAGAATTAGAGGTGAAAAGACAAAGAAGTAGAAAGGCACTTAAAGAAGGCAAAACAAAGATAATTCATTTTCAGTGTTAAATCCAGGAAAAGTTAAAACTAGGGATAAATGAAACAGATGTGAAATACAGAATAAAGAAAATGCACACATACAAGAGAACAAAAGGAAAATATAAGTAAATGGTGACAAGATAAAGAGAAGATAGAAAAGAAGAAATAAGACCTAGAGAATTAGATTTCAGGAATAGATCCTTGTACTATACATGTCACAGGTAAACACAAAAACCAAGGAAGTAAAAATACATAGTTGAACACAAATAAAGTTTCATTTTTTGTTTCCATTTCAGAACATTAATTAATACTACTAATGTTATGTGAATTTTTAAATACTTTAAATTCATTCCTAGGAAGTCTAAATAGAAGAAATGTGACAGATTTTTGATTTTACAATATCATAAAATGTTAGCAGAGACATGGAAGCCTCAGGTAGCCTAGTAAATAAGACGGCAGCAGTATGAACTCAGAGAAGCTGCCATTAGACAAGAGTGATATGACTAAATGAAGAAAAGGAAGAATATTATTTGATCTCAAATGTGATACTTTTTGATGTTTTCAAATAATGATAATGGTTCACATGATGCTAAATTTGTGCATGTTCTCTCTCTCTGTGTCTTTCTCTCTCTCTCTCTCTCTCTCTCTCTCTCTCTCTCTCTCTCTCTCTCTCTCTCTCTCTCTCTCTCTCTCTCTCTCTCTCTCTCTCTCTCTCTCTCTCTCTCTCTCACCCCTGTGCCCCTGGCTTTACAAGCTATATGGGAAAATCTGAGGCTCCTGAAGGGCTTTCTGCTTTAGATTCACTTAAAGCCTTGTGAATCTGAGAACAAACTTCACTATTTGGTTACCATCTTAATTTACTCAATAGACTGACACAGGGCAAATGCTGTATTTTCTCTGAGTGAAAATTCCACAAAGGAAAAGCATAACCTGTGAGGCAAAATAGTTTTTATTTTTCCCCAAAAGTGGCATAAGATATGTCTATTACTAGTTCCTATAAGTTTAAAAACAAGCCAAGTTGTAGGATGTGAGACATTACCACTATAACACAGTACAAATAAAAATGGTAATTATTCTATTCTTTAAACATCTCCAAATATCTCATCTGAAGAAGAAATCTATTTTGTTTTGCTTTCTCTTTGGTATGTCTGACATGCTTTACTCTTAAATTAAACTTCCACCTTCCATGATAAGAGCTAAATTGAATGAATTTGTCTCAAACACAAAATCCACAGTATGTATATCAAGCAGAATGTGTCAAAGTGCAAATAAAATTGTTTGTGCCCCCTGTAGAATTAGAAATCCTCAGGAAGCACTGTTCTAACGATCCCATGCTGCTAGCATTACCAAGTGCAAAGGTTCATTGAGTAAGAAAAGAGCAAGGGACAGAGTTCCCTCATTACACCATTCCTGAACTATTCTAACTTAAATATTCATTAAGATATTAATAACCCTCACTCCCTTCATCTGCCTTCAGAAGTTAAGCTAAGACACAATGAATGGCTGCTCCCATGAAAATAACGTTACCTGATAAAACTGCTACCACACAAGATGAACACTGGTATAAGGCACAGTAGATTATTAATTCAGCAGGTAATACATTTTTTACAATAATTAGATGATCTATACTCTCTCTAATGGACAACAGAATGACACAGTATTTTAAAAGATACAGTAGGTTGTAAAGTTGTCTTTCAAAGTATTTTATATGTATATCATGATAAAATTATTTTAGTGGACTTCCCACAAACAGAGACCCTGACCCAAAAGGAAGGCATACTTTTCATCTGAGGCTTATATGAAATGGCACATGGACTTCAAATGATGTATTTGAGAAATTTATCAAGGTTATTTTCTGACTGGGAAAGAAAATACCCTTAAGAAGTTGATGCTCACAAGAAATAAATTGCTGAAAAAGCCAAGTACTTCATGTGAAAAAACCTTTTTTGAAAAAAAAAAGTAAATCAAGAAATAAAGGAAAATGTAGCCACTTGACTTACTCTAATATATAATGGTATCATCTCTTTTTCTTTCTGAGGGTTACGATACTTTTCATAAAAATCACGCCGCTTCTTTGCTTCTTTGAAGTTTTTATCTTTTCTTTCACGTTTTTCTGCTGGCTCATCTGAACCATCAGAAGATAACTGCACTTGTGATTTGGTCTTTTCCACTTCAATATAGTTTTCATTGGGATTGAGCACTATTACTCCATACCCTTCCTGTTGTAAAAAGAAAGGGAAAAAAGTAATCACAGAAATATTACCAATTTCTAACAGTATTAACATTTTATATTAAGTAAATTCATAGTCCTATATTTCATAAGTCATCATATTATAACAAGGGCTATACTTTTTTCTTTTGGTCATCTAAGGCTTTGAATTTAATTTATTGTGGTATGGGTTGCATATGTAAATAAGCAGACTTTACATTAACAGAAGCAAAGAAAAACAAGCAAAACTATGACATGAAGATTGTTAATTTAAACAAAAAGGTTTTACTCTAGATCTCCTAAAGAAAAATAATCTTTGGCAACACTGACAAGCACCACCCACACTTACACTTTCCAAATGTCCTTACTATTCAGAAGACATGCAATGAGAAAAATAACCATCTTGGTATGGAGTTTCACAACTTCCATGCTGCCTTAAATGAGTTTTCTTTCTTTTCATCCACATTTCTGTTTTGGTTTATTGTGTTTGAATACTGACAGAGAAGAAAAAAAATAGAAGGAAAAAATGTGCCTAATATTCTATATATTTATGATCACATAAAGAGCAGAAACCTTATCCATTGTCCATCTCATATAGTTGATTTGCCTGTTCAACTTCAGGAGGCTATACAAATCATTTTTAAAAATTAATATGTTTTTTTAAAAGTATTACTATAGTATATGTAAATTACTATTTTTAAATTCTGAGATTTTTATTTTCAAGTCACTTCCATAAGATCTTTTTATTGAGGACTAATACCACAAAACATTTAACATTTCAAAGATTAGAAACCAAAAATATTTGTTGAATTGTTAATAAATGTTTAATCCACATGTGTGATTTTCCATTTGGAGACTGGTATAATTGATCTATGAGTATTTGGGGACTGGAGGAATTGAGTCATTAATATTCACTTTTGGAAAAATTTTCAACATTTTAAACTTAAAAGCAAAAATGGAGAAAACAAAAATGTTAGCACCACTAACCCTCAAATAACATTTGCTAGAGGACATTTTGAAAGTATTATATATCTTTCTTTTTCTAACCAATTTTATAGCACACTGAGAAGAACTGTGATGTTCACAATATTTATACCCTTATAAAACTCTACATGGTCATATGATAGTAAGTTCTACATTATGATACAAAGAAGGAGATTTAGACTTATAGATAATTAAATCTAAATGGAGTTTCATGTCTATCCCCAAAACATTACCTATTTTAAAAATTCAAACTCTAGGACCCGATTTGAATTTTAAATGTCACATTTCTTGTTCAAGTGACCCATCAGAAGCTGATCAGAACCCACACAACTGATAACATTACAAAAAATAAAAGAATATTATCATTTAACCAGTATTATTACTTCAAAGTACATTGTTACTGAACTTGGTATTTTTTTCAGGTATTTCAAATAGCACAAAAATTATACTGGGGTTGTTTTCCTTCTCATCCAATCAATTAGTATATTTTTCAACTACCTTGATTCCTCTGTGTGTGTGTGTGTGTGTGTGTGTGTGTGTGTGTGTGTGTGAAGATATGGATCTCAAAGGATTCTTAATTCTACTCTAAAAGGTTCTCAGTGTAAATACAGGACTTCCTTTCAACAGATATGAAAATCATTTAATCAATGTACACAAAATTGATTGATAAAAGAGGGTACACCTATTCAACATATATCCTTTTAAGATCATATGATCTCTTAGAATTCTTAGTCAAAAGCTCCTTTTATGAAAGACTTATAAAATATTCTTAGGCAGAAATAAATACTTCATCTTCATTTTTATTTAAACATCTCAAATACAAAGCATATGAGAAGATTAAAAAAAAATCCCTATCTACCTAGCTCGTAAGCCAAAGCTATACCAACAAAAGATACTTTATTTGGTCTTGCTTTATTCTAATCTGTATAGCTATTCAAAAGTCTTGTAACACATTGTGATCACTGTCAGGTAGACAGATTGTCACTTGGTGATTTTCTACAGTTGGACACACTCGACTAGTTATCAAAATCACATTTGAAGGAAGTTCCTACCCTTCTTCCTTGTGCTTCTTACAACTTTTCATGCCCTTCTCAAATTTCTGCTATAAATTCCCCTCCCACTAAAACTAAGTTAAAGGACACTGTTGCACTCTGCTAAACAGGGTGAAATGGAGGCATTCAGTACACTGTCTCTGGTATAAGGAACATAGTCAAAAAAGGTCACCATAGGCCAAAAAGAAAATTGCCTCCTTACTAGATTTTGTACCATGAGTAAGTGGTCTCCTGTCATGTTCCTTTCCTGCCCTCTTCTCTCAGTTGAATTGAACTTTTCTTTTCTTTTCTTTTTTTTTTAAACACAGCTTTGGAATCTGGCTATCCCAAAGTAGGATCTCAGAATAAAAAAGAGAGCTGAGAAAAAAACCAGAGAATTTCAAATGTAGAAGAAACCTCAGCGATGTGAAAAATTTCCAACTGAAGGCAAAATAAATTTTAATAAATTGGTATAATGTGAACATCATAATTATGTAATAACTGAATTTCAATTTAAAAAACTTCTCAGAACAAATTAAAAATATTTCAGAAATGACAAGTGTCATGCTACATGAAATCCACAAGTTCAGTAAAAGAAACTGATTCTGTGATGGGGGAGGTGAGTTGAAGGTATACATTTACAATTTTTTTGGAACCCCTACTAATACAAACTGAAAAATTTTGTCGATTATAATTTTACGTGCATCATGAAATCTGAACCATTACGTGTGTAGTCTAAACTAGTCTAAAACAGACACACAAATCATCAAAGAAGTAGAATTTGTCTAAGTTATTGATTATGTAACAGAAAATTACATGACTCATTTGTCCAATTTTATAAGGACACAATGTCAATTTTTCACTGAGGCTTCAACAGATGAAAAATGATTCTATTTTTAAAATCACCACTATGTATATCAATTAAAGGATTTTTATCAATTAGATGAGAACATAAAATTTCTTCTTTTTAACACCTGGATTGTACAGAAAACAGTTTATTCTTTTAAACATATCAGATCTTTAGACATAACAAATCCAAGCAAAAATCATCTTGAATATTTATCCAAGGGCCTTTTCTCTAGACATCTCACAAAATCATTACTATCCCAACTTTCAAAAAAGATTTCCAAGCTAAATTCCCATCATTCCATAAGGAAATTAATTTTATTTTTATTCTTTTTTGTTATTTCGAGTAACACAAATAATAACACTGAATATAAATTATCCTTTATTTTTAATAAAAGCTATGTGCACTACTTCTATTATACCCTTACAGAGCAGGAAAAATAAGCAGTCATGCATCAATACTTTAACCCTATCTACTGCTCTAAATGGTGTATGTGTGTGTGTGTGTGTGTGTGTGTGTGTGTGTGTGTGTGTATAAACACTAAAAGTTTGCCTTTCTCTTTATTTCATCCTTGAAATAGCTACACGCCTGAAAGGTTTCAGTATCTCAATATGTGGTACCAATTTTGCCGCAGCTTAGCCTTAGAAAGGATCATTGAAAAAACTATGGAGAATAAATAAACATGCACATGAAAATTAGGCAAAGACAAAATCTCGATCACTAAAAATGACAATTTTATATAAAATATTATTAATTAGATGACATAAAATATTTCAATAAAGATGAAGTGTGAAACTTCTTAAATTGCCCTCTCTTTTTCAGTAATTCAATCAAGAAATACTAAAAGGCAAATGTCATTCAATTTTGAAGTGCTGCAAAACTATTCTAGTAACAGAAGCCTCAAATAAATAGTAATATTCTAAAATTACTTTTCAGGGCTGCTTTCGAAAATTAGCATTTTTGTTTACATCTAGACTCTTAAAACCATCCATTTATACTTAATCACTTCTTAAAGAGAATAACTTTCTTGCCAGATGAAATTCAGCTTTTTTCAAATGCATTTGGAAATTTATCCTACAATCTTTAAAAAGATATGATAAAATTTTATTTGATTTATCCAAGCCAATCTTAATACAGTGTATTTCCAGAGGCAAAACAGATGCACATTACAGTTAACTAATTCTATATTTTCTTATAACAAATTTAGGAGGGAAACACAAGGACAAATAATGATAAAAAGCATGCTTTATCCCTTAATTCATCACATCAAACTCATTAATAATGATAGTTTTCCTTTTAGACCAGTGTTTGCAAGGCAATATCTCTAGACTCTTAAATACTACCTCAAGTTTTATTTCTAATCCTAGCATTTCATTCAATAACAAACACTTTCTTTGGTTTAGATTGATAACCTGGAACTCCAAGCCACCTTTACTTTTAAGTTTTACAAATACATTTGCTAATAAATAATAGTTCATTTATCATTCAATCAGAAGATGATGGCTAAGGTTAGAGTGGCCTCAAGCAGACAGGTGGTGGTGAATACAATGAGCTAAAGAGGAACCTTGATACCCGAATCAAATAGATGGACAAGGCGCCCTCCTCACAAAGATGCAGTAGATAGATAATTAAGAGTTGCCTGACCAAAAGCAGGATGGTCTCACAATGAAGCCTCACACCAGATGCTAGAAAATGAAGATTTACACAAGTTAATTTTGCCTGTTAGTCACCATTCGTAAGCTCAATGGAAATCTAAGACAGTTAAGGCAAATGTTCTATCTTTTCAAATCTCATGTGGTGGGCTAAATGCATAATGAGCTGAAAGTACTCATCCTGCGTATTAATCTACCAACATGCTATGCCATATGTGACCAGACAGGTCAGGGCCTAAAGTGGGATCCCTTGACCTATGTAACTATCTTTTTGGCCTTCAAGTAAGAGATGGTTTTCCTAAGCTTTATCAGTCAGATTTTCCAAGTTCAACAAGCTATCTAGACTGGTTGCAGCAAGATCACAGCTAATCCCTCAGGGAAATGAATCTCAGAGTGTTCTGATCTGTAAACTAAATCTGCCCATGGTTAAAATGGACAAACTACTGTCCATTCATCTATCTGAAAGATCTATGTTCTGTTTATTGCTCATCTTTGT